GTGGGAAGGAACGTGCATTGTTTAGTTTCATAATTTACAGGTCGCATTGAGAAAACCGTGTGCTGGGAACTAATGGCAGCTTGCGCGATTATCTGTGACCAATTGTCTAGTAGTAGATAGTTAAAATTTAGTATAGCCCGCACACAACCAATTGGTCTAGGTATATGACAGTTTCATTGTGTAGGGTTTCAATTGGCTATGTCAGTTTGAAAACTTTTGAATTTTTGTTTGGCACTGGTATTGTTTACAACTAGGAATGTTATTGCATATTTAAAATGTGTGTGTGTCGTGTTGTATAGCGACAATGTTACTAATGTTAGGTAATTTTCCGAAACATTTCAAACAGTGGAAATTTACCGAAAAGTTACTGAAAAGCGTCCTGTGAGGGGAAATACGTTACGATTGGTTTCAAGAAATGTCATAAACATCCCAAAACACAAAACGGCTGCTTTTCGCGGAGGTTTCAGGTATCGCGCCAGTAAGTGCTGGAACGATATTCCTCCTCCATTGCGTGACGTCACGCGTAAGCTACAATTTAAGCGTGAATATAAAAAACTTCTTTTGTCTAAACAGATATGTACTCGTATTATATAGTAACTCATAATTCTTTAATTCCCCTGAATCTGATACCTGTAAACCTAAAACTAAAAATCAAATAACCAAAAATTAATATTATTGTATTTGTATTTTATATGTATGTGTGGAAATGAGTTTTATTATTATATATTGCTTGCGCATCAGGCTTGACACTATGTTTTGCTCTTAACAATGTTTAACGTATTGACATATATATGTATTTTCTATTCTTTTTTTTTTTTTTTGTTTTTGTGTTATATATATTTGCGTGTGATCATCACTTTCATCATCACTTTGATGGCATGGCTTATTGAGGTGCGATCGCTCACCATAATATGGTACTGGCAGAAAACCAGCGCTGATAGACTCTTTTCACGGTCTACAGTAATTATGCTGAGCCAGGGCCATTTCAGTACAAACTGTTGCATTTTAGGTATGACCTAGATGTTTTATGTAAAAATGTTGTAATTTTTGTTCTATGTTGTTTTGTGGTGTACCTTGTGATGTAATTGTAAATGTTTTGTTTCTGCTTGTGTTTGTACTGAATAAACGCTTTATCTATCTATCTATCTATCTAAAAGTTGGAAAAAAAATATGATTCCAAGGCTCACATTCTGTCTTGTGAAGTTTTATCTTGTGTGAATTATAAAATAAAATTGTATAGCTAAAAGCAAGTTCGAGTAAAAAGAGATTTGAAATGATTGGACAATAGCGAAAAAAAAGAATAAGTAATTAAATTCTTTATTCAGGCATTACAAAAAATTAAACTTCTCTAGTGCCCATTAACATAAATGTTAATAACCTTTAGATAATATACAATAAATTATAAGATACAATAAAATAAAATATGACCTAAAATAAAATACCAATACCATAAATGGGTAATGGTCATTTACGATTCAAATCCCGGTGGACATACATCCAGTATTTAAAAATAGTAGGACGCTTTCGAAGGACTTCGACACAAACTGCTCTCAGGATTGCATTGTCAGATGCAAGCACCCTTTCCCAAAATGAGGCCACCCTCGTAACATTCGAATGTTTTAAGACTTCCTAGTGAAGCTGGTCCACAGCTAATACGTGTAGGTACATGCATTGGTAATAAGCCCTAAGGTCACCTTGACTTGCATAAAAAAAAATCTTTACAATGGCTCCATCCTTTTCGTTCAGTATCTTAAATTTTTACAGGTGCCAACTGCAAAATGTGGAACAATATAGGAAAAATATGCGGAAAAATATTTACTTTCTGAAAATATGAATTTTTCAAAATATAAATTTTTCCATGACCCCACATTGGATATTACGCAAATAATCCATTCAATGTCAAAAGCGATTTGTAACTAATAACTACGCAGTTAATGGTCGGTTAGTAAATTATGCTAAAAATACTGAGTAGTGTGCAAAAAAAAACGTAAATACATTAGGGCTTAACAAAACTGTGTGATAATACGTATCTTGAAACAAGAATCCATTTTATTTAAATTCTTATTCCGTTTTTTTTTAAATCGAACTCTGTGGTTGCAAAGCAAAATTCATAAAATGCCGGAGATAATTTCATAAAAAAAAATTGCTAAATTTTTTCAATGAATATACCATTAATTTATCTCAAAGTATTGTAACACCTGTAAAGTTTGCAATAACAATAAAATATTCGATCAAGAAGAAACTAAAGACACGTATCTAGGTACATACAGAATAGTCAGCGGACGTGCAATTTATTGCAATATTCAATGACAACAACTGCGCTGACCTTTTCATAATTAGAGACTTCGATATACTATATTTCGAAATATATTGTAACAGGGTATAAGGGCTTACCGTAAGATAATGCAGGGTGAAGGAAAAAGAAGTAAAAGAAGGCCAAAAATGGCATAGAGTAATCCAATAAAATAGAACGTCAAAGTGGAAGGGAGAAGGACACACCGACAAGAGAGTGGCTTTTAAATAGGATGATGAAGAACACAGGGTGGCAAATAAAAAAACCGTGTGTGTTTTGGCCCTAGCTTGATTTTTCTGCAATAATAATTATTCCGATTGGAATGTAATTTTATTTAATTAGGTGTCCTGAACGTCCAATCTTCGAAGTTTAGAGTTTATATATATATTTATGTTTTTATTTATCCTGTATATTCATGCGATAGAAAGAATTTTTGAATAAAGGACGTCTTTACTCACATAAAAAAATGGCGTCGGTTACTGTTGGAATTTTTAATAAACTTGAAAAATTATTTTCACTTTTAGTTAAATTAATGAGATTGACAAGAAAATTAAAGCTTAAGAAAAAAAAACTTTGTGGTATGTACTTTTTCCTTGGAAGTCTCTTTTTAATCGAGTTCAAAAAAAGGAGGAGGTTCTTAATTTGACTGTATTATTTTTTGTATGTTTGTTACGCTAATGCCGGTCGGCATTTTTGAACCGATTTTGTTGATTCTTTTTTGTTGGAGAGATAGGATAATTCGGTAGTGGTCCCATTTAAATTTGAAGAAAATATTCCACCTCTAAGAGTAGCAAACTAGGGGATAAGTCCGGTTTCGCGCACTTTCCGGTAACCGATTTCAATAAAACCTGGCAAATAGATGTAATTTTTTTAGTACTTTGTACTGAGATTATCTTAGATACGTTACAAAAATAACACGAAAAACTATCTCACTTTCGGGCAAATTAGCTACACACATGCGATGGTTATTTCTCTATGAGTACCAAGAATAATAATAAACCATAGCAAAGTTGATATTTGAATCATCGACACACGTGTTATCAGATGTACTTACATTATACATACTCTATTTTATACATATTGATTAAGACCGTAATTACAATGATTAAATTGTACCTGCATTTAGTAAGAAATTCCTTTAATAAAACATTCCAACGTTTATTGGTCAATTTTAAATATAATAACGCGCATAAAAAAGAATCTACATCAATCGTTTAACTAGGTACAATTATTGATATTTATGGTTGTGACGTTCATACATTTTAAGTAGATTACAAAGAACCAATATTATAGAGTCCAGCAGGATATCTTGGAATGTAAGTGATTCAGTTGGCAGAGAGCCAAAGTGCAAGTCAGTTACCGACATTTATTCATGGAAATTCTTCTACATTTTGGACGTTTACATATTTCAAAACGCTATTTCCCGACGTTTCGTTCCATGTTGCACTTGGCCGTGGATACTATCATAATAAATAGGTAGTTGTGCAAATGCCTATTAAATAGTTTCAACGCGTTTATCCCCCTATTGTAAAATCAGTGTAATAACCACGATCCCTCATAGAAAAAATAAAAATTATAAATTGGAAATGTAATTATCGGATCGAAATCGTGTGTGTATATTTGTGTTTTTAAGAAAAATTTTATTGAAAAATGATAGATTGTTTATATGGATTACTTAAATGTTGTCTAATGCTTCTTCAATTAGTAAATTAATGGTATTATGAAAAAATATTGTGTACATACAGTTCGTGTTATGATGAACCATATTCATTTAAAATGCGCCTAGAAACCTTTTTCCGTATTATATTTTATATGGTAAATAAATAAAAAAAATCAAATAAATTAAAGTTTTAGACCCTTTACAGGTTCCGTGATTACAGTCGACTGAGATGTTTAAGTCATCAAACAGTCAAGTCTAATGTTCTTGAAAACCACTTTTTTTTTCGTTTTGGTAAATAATAAAATATTACGAACATTTTTTTCTTTTATGTACTAAAACCTTACTATATAAAATAAAGATTTTTAAAACCACAAATAAACTCGTTCAAATTTACGAAAATATGCCCTTGATAACGTAAGTGCGCATGATTTGACCGAGTGCTTTTCAGTCAATATTTTAGATTTGCTTCTGAAAGTTTTCACAACAATGTAGAATGATGAATTGACCAAATGTAATGTGATTTAATTTTAATAAAAAATATTATCGACTTGAATCGGCATCTGTAAATGATTATTTTCTTTCTGTTCCTTGTATTGTATAATATTCTAAATGAAATTCAACAAAATAATGTTTTACTAAATTATTTATGCAAACGTTCAATATAAATTGCTAGGTACCTATACATTTATGCACCTGTTGTGATTCATGAGTCAGTAGGTTTATGCATAGAAACGCACGTTTATAGAATTCTATTAAATAACGTCGATGATTTTTTCATATTAAATCATGAGATATGTCGAGCTGGACAGGAACCGCCACTATAAACGTTAAAAACCATCCTTTTCGGCAGTTTAGGCCTCTATGAAATTTAAAACACATCTCGTGGAAAAAATACAGAAATATATGATATTTTCGTGAATCATCAAGGTGAATCGAATAAGGCCATAATATACTTATTACATTATTTTTATACGTTGGAATGCTGTATGAGACACGTTCTTCCGTGTGCGACAACACTTGATTTAAAGTTTAGAGAAGTGTACTTACTTTTCGAGTCTGTTCCCAAGCTTGTCTGAGAGATGGTTATCTTTCGGCTTGGTAAGGTCGGAGTCGTACAGGTCGCGCTTGTATCCTCGCCAGAAGGTGGGTAACATCCAGACGAACCATATTTTAGATAGTGGATTTGCTCTCTTGTAGTTGTTGGTTTTCTTTTCGCGATTTTGTGGTGGTATCTTCTCGGGTTTGCTGGGGTCCTTATTTCCACTGACCATTTTTGTTGAATTTAATTAATGACAGAAAACAGGATAAAATAGAAAAAAAAATATTGGTCCACAGTCCTTTCGTGTCACGAAAACTTATTGCAATTTGCAAAACATTTTTAAATTGAGAAGGTGTGTTGATTTTCGCGGATTATGGCGCTGCCGCCGAGATGCGCGTACGCTGGGCGATATGCCGACAGTTGACGCGGAGTGCTAACACTCGTGCTAACTGGCGGCGCGCACCCCACATACAGTTTTATAACGTAGTGAATCTGCGGTAAGCCCGTATCGGCGCCTGCGCTGCCACTACGACCTCCCTATGACAACTCTTTAATCCTCTCGAGCTACTCTCGAGCTTTTCATCCGAATACCAAAAGTTAATACTACGTATTTTAGAGTATTTCCGACCTTTGGAGAAAACATGACTTACTTGGCTGTTGTTCAACTTTCATTTTAATTTTTTTGACGGTCGTTTTTTCTTCGGTTATATGAAATTTATATGTTTGACTATGCAAACTTAATACACACTTAACGTCAAGAGCGGAATATATATATAAAAATAACTAAATTGGCTTTTTCAAATGATAATTAAAAATCAGAGCAAGAAATCACATAAATTCGCAAACTGGAAACATGGGCATTCCAAGAAATTAAGTAGTCAAATTAATAAGCAAAATACCTTTTTCGTCTTATTTAAATACCAGCAATAATTCAATAAAATTGCGTAAGAAATCATAAGCATGGAAATAGGGCAAAGTACGTTTCATGCACGTTTTAGTGTGCCCTTCCTGTGTAGCCAGTCTTCTCCGATAAAAAAAAATATTATTCTTACCGGTATTCGTACCGGTCCACGGCTTTGCAATTTAAATTTTCTGTTATGTAACTAATAAATAATTATATAAAACGTTCGCCTACGAATAGCCATAGACCGTCCATCGAAAATAAAAAAAACAAATTTTGCATGGAGATAGCAAAGCAACCAATAATTTTGTATTACAGATATCATGCGCCCTCGTATCGCATAAATTAGTAGTTTGAAGAGTTATTACTAAGAAAATGCACCAAAGCGAAATCATAGCCATTATTGTTCTTTGTGTTTACGTACTCTTTCAATACAGGTACTTATTATTATATATAATATAATAATAATCTTTATATAAGCCATTTTAATGTTCAATTTGTTTTTTTTTAAAACAATAACGATGTTAATATTATTATAAACCTAAGAACTTCTTATTAGGTTTTCGTGATTGATGCACGTAGGAAATGAAACTGAAACAATTTTTTCGCAAATTTGTTAAATTTAAAATTAACTTAAAATATAAGTAAATTTGTTTTTTAAATCCATCGACTATATAACCAGAAATAGAGATGAAATGTTATTTAATTTGCTGGAAAACTATACTGCATTCTGCCATATCATTACGGTGACAACTGCGCTCCAAATGGCCAGCCCAAATTCGAAACAAATAACTGGTGTCTTCAATTGTTTCACTTCAAATCGACCAGTTTAACTCGAGCTTGTAGTCTGAAACTACAGACTCCTATCATCTTCATCTCTCACATCATACGTTTTCTAGGAAACGTCTTTGCTTTTCCTGATTCCTGAAAGAGTTCTAACTAATGTTAGTGTCTAAATTACTTAAATTTGCAATTGTAAGCTATTTCTCGCATTATGACAGTTTACTCACTTTTCATGTCTGATCTCCCGACCTTATACCTTACCTTATTAGACCTTATACCAATAGAAGTAGTAGAAGCGTTTCCGCTCCTGGCTGCTCACATTTTGGCTCCTCATTTCAAATTCAAAATTGGGTATTCGAATTTCGATGCTCTCTCTCGCTCTACCAAACGCTCATCATTCTTGTACCGACCTTGGAGGCACCTGATCTTCACCAGATCTAGTAAGAATACGAAGTCTCACCTTTTCGATGCCCTACACCTGGCCTTACACCTACCGCGCTTACGCGCCTGCCTGATGACCAGTTCCTCGATTACCTCACGTTAAACCTGGTCTTCACGTTTACGCTTCTGCTACCTGGATTGTGTGCTTCACCTTCACCAGGCGAGTTTGGAGTAGGAGAAACTCAAGTCGATGCTCAAGATATAATCCTCTGCTGTACTATCACCGCCGTCTCGTCATTATTCCTCGTTGCCCTCTGGTTCCGCTCTACAGCCGCTATCCAGCTTACAACCTCGCTGCTCTTCGGTTCTGCACCTCTGTCCTCAGCCACCAAGAGTCGAGAGCAGAGGCTTCCAACACCGTGTCTCCACCTTCTCGTATCTTCACCTTCACTCTACACTTACATTGCTCACTCTACCACGTCCTAATACTCTCAGTTTCTTTTCACCTCGACCCTCTAGCTCACCACCGCCTTGCTATAATGGACGAAATTTGAAAACATACATAATTTAATATTTCATTGCATTGCCGATGAACTGTGATTCCATTTGTTTTGTAATTAGAGGTTTTGCTGTTTTTTCTACACCACCGAATGGAACAACCCTCATAGTTACAGGTGTTATCTTAATAACAATAAATACATAATATTTTTGGAATATACAGAGACGTACACACAGGTCAGTCGTTGGCGCTGTACTATTTTAGCTTTCTAATTTGTGATTTCACTGCAACCGACAGTTGATATTTAAAAGCCATGTCAGTACCATTTGACTAATGAGTTGCCAGGGATGGATGGCCCTTATTTCGTCTCTATTTCTGGTTATTATACTCGATGTTTTAAACAAATCAACGTTGCGGGTCCTTTACAGGTCCCATAGTCACGGCTGACTCTGCCTGCCACTCAGTCAACCTTTAGTAGCAGTAAAGCTAAGTGACAAATGATCAAACTACCGTTTTAAATTGCAAAAAATAGAGCACAAAACTCTCTTTTAAAAACAGTAAAATTAGTTGGCGTTTTCGACTTATCCAAATTTACCCCAACGATACATAGCTGAAACGTTAGTAAACAATTTTAATATTCTAAAACTGGGTTATGGTTTTATATGATATCTCAAAAAAATATTTTGCCACTTAGCCGCTTAGTAATGTGAGCATTATTGCGTTTCGGTTTTGAAGGATAAGGGTGCTGGTGAAGATACAGATACGTGGGTTTTTGCAAATTATATCTTAGGGTGCCCCTAAGATCTTTGCGATTGCTGCAACTGTTGTGGATAGGCGTGTTGGTTACCACAACTTGTTCGTTCCATCATTTAGTATTCATATATAGAAAAAAAAAACCGCGAAAATCTAAGAACTCGATAATTGTTATTATAATTATTTTATTGAAATCACTGGCTAGATGTTGCCCAAAACCCGTGATCTTTGTTATGCTCCACAATAAACTGTACCCGAGTTGAGGTATCCCTTCTAAATTCCCATAGTTCGTCTCGACGTTCCGCATAGCAGTAAATGCTCTTAAGTGTAAAAAAACTTTATCTGCACATCTTTTTCAAATAACGGATCTTCAAGTTGAACGATTTCGCCCTCGATTATTAAACCAGCTGATTTAACCAAGTAGGTAGTAGTACATTGAGCGTAGTATTTAATGCTCTGTAATTGCCAACTTTGATATTGGTAGTCATATTTAAACACAAAACATGAATAAGATTCAATTACACCACAAACCACACGAAACTCGTATCATGGGAAAGAAATTTGTAAAACACAACAAGAAGACCTTGAATGTCTTTCGCAATTGCAAAAGCAAACCCCTATCTACTATGGCCGGTAGGACCTTCGATCGACACATCCAACGTCAAGGTCCCACCGATCAGGTCACTAAAAACCATCAACGGTGGATGTACTTGTTCATTACGAAAACAACTACGCCATAAGCAACAACTTGTAGATATGTACAGGTCGATAATATTTTTTGTCATCTTACTTGCGTAACATACGCATGTATATGTATTTACATACGAAAGCGTGGAACGCGATTTTGATGAGATATTGTGGGCGACTATACAAAACTTTCATTATGGAATGAATCACTCTGTTCGACAAGTTTTTCCTGCCATTAGAAGAATAATTTAATGAATTTAAGTCGTAGAAATAGAAACTTGCCGAGCTCCGATTACACCTTACAGAGCAACTTGTTATAAACACGAGATAGCTATGTACAAATAACTCCCGTCTGTGCCATAGCATATCCACAAAAAATCATATTCCATTGACAAAGCTTACATGTAAATAACTAAATCCGAAATACTTAAATATATGATTTGATTTTGGCAGAGTGTAATAGGCTGGTGATTTTAATTAAACCATCAAAGATTTTACAGGGAAAAAAGGTTGAGATGACCGAATATTACCCTTTAGGCATTTCTAATAGGAATTTAGTATAAAATAATAGCGGATCGAACTATTAGTTTGCGCCGTTCCTTCGGTATGAAGAATGTGATTTCATATAATATCTATGAGAACAACGAATGATGGCAATACGGATACATGATCAATAACAGTGTCGAAATTTACAGTACCTACCACTGTAAACAATGAAAGACGTTAAAAAAATACAACTATTGCTATTCTAAACCAGAAAATTAAACTCTGAAGAAAATAATCACAATTTTTTATAAAAAACAACCGATCTTAAAAGTTTGTGAAGTTACATCTGTTTCCCAAGTTTTATTGAAATCCAATAAACTGGATTCATTCCCTAATTTGCCACGCTTAGAGGTGGAATATTTTCTTCAAATTTGAATGGGACCACTATTGAGGTACCCCCATTCCCAAACAAAAAAAGAATCGTCGAAATTGGTTCACAAATGTCGAAGTAACTGCGCGTAACACACACACAAAAAAATAGATGGCGATAATTAATATTTTCTGTGGTAAAAACTAGAGTTTCCGAACCCTAAAAATGTAATCATGATACGTTGTTGTAGGAACCGTGTCAACCGTTCATTTCGTTGGTATGTGCTCAGGCATTGTGCGTGCAGTGGGGTCATCAGATCTCGGTGACGACGATGCGTCCACACAATACGCCTATTGACAGCTTCATTGACAGCCGCGTGACCGAATCTCGGGCCACATCCTGACTATATATTGTACCTTAAGTTCCTTATAGAGCGATCAATTTATCAGTATACGACGGAAAGGGTTGTCACTACAAATTGTAACACACTTATATTTGTTTTCGCAAACGTTTGGACGTGTATTTGTTGTTCAATCAAGATGTAGATTTTGAATTTATTAGAATGTTTGCTCGCGTATTTGATAGCATGCAATA